CGGATGGGATTGCATCCTGGGCCGCTGTTTCTACGATATGCATTGTATGGTAGATACCGATCTCTGCTCGACCGGGGTTCTTTGTCGATATCCCTTTGAGTTCTACCGACAGGCCTGTTTGGATAAGCGAAATCGGAAGGGGTCCCCAATTGATCATCCTCGACCCTGATCTTCGACTGGTACCGATTATGTATATCAGACCAGGTTACCGCTGAATATTCAATTAAATTCTGCTTTAGTTGTCGTGATGCCACCGAACTTCGTTCGTTCAAACCTTGAGTAAAGGCTTGAACAACCCAATCGTATGTGACCGGTGGTAGTTCCATGCGTTCCATATAAAACCGAGATACGAATTCCCTCAACATTTCGTTGTCTTTTTGTTTCACTTTGAAGAGGTTTGATTTTCTAGTCGTGACCTTTATTGATCCAGCATGTGCCTTTACGATTGAGTCTGCAAGCATGGCGAAGGAATCGATGGAATTAGGCGGCAAATTGTGGTACCATATCATTGCTCCTTTTGACAAGGTTTCTCCAAAAATTTTCAGTAGAACAGATTCGATCTCATCGTCTTCTAAGTCATTTCCCTTTATTGCGCATGTATAAGAAGTGACATGCTCATTAGGGTCAGTGGTCCCATTGTACTTAGGAATTTCTGGCATTCAAAATTTCTTCGGAATGGGTTTTGTTGCCGCACTCGGAGGGAAAGGCTTCTGTACAAATTTCTTTGAATCCATACCTTTTAAAATCGGTGGTGCCCCCGGTATTTGGTCAACTCGGGAGTTATATGTCTCTACTATCTTGTTATTTGCCTCGGTTTTCTTTTCTCCCGATTCAATCCGTTTAGTGAGCTCCTCGAACATTTTCATAATGGCGGGGTCAGTCCCCGATTCGTTGACATTCGTCCTTTCCGGCACAAGCTCGGTCCTTTGAACGACTTCTGGTTCGATCCTACTCGGTGTTCGGTGTTGATTTTGTAGTTGTGCTATAGCGGCCTGTTGAGCCTGTAATATTTCGAATATCAATTAGAGGCTAACTCCACTATCTTCTCCGCCATGTGTACCTCGACCACCTGATCGAACTTCCCTGTGTATACTACCTTCGGGCTCCACACCCAAATTTGCATTTAGGGCGACATGTGAACTGACATCGACGAGATTTGCAATTGGTGCTCCCTCGAGGTTGGCCTAAGGCACCTCGATTCCTGGGGCGGCTATGTTGTCGTTTTCCCCGTGAAATCCAAGGCTGTTGTCACCATGTGTAGGTGCTGCTTGTGAGTTTGACATGTTTGTCCTGAAAATAAAGATTCATACGAGAACAAGTGTAAAGCAGTGTGTGTTATTGAAATTAGTATTTAGCAATCACTATTATCCTTAGTCCCACGACGGGCGCTAAACTGTTTACCCTTAAAATTGGATAACAATTAAACTTATAATATGAATTTAAGGATACGTAATTTCACTTAATACCAATTGAAATATATAAAAATTAATGATAGAATTATACAATAAAGTAAATCAAACCAGTATTTGAGTAGAACTCAACCCTTGAGTTAGAGTATACTCGAACTGGTTGATGCAAGGTCAATATAAATACAATAAGCTAAAGAACAAGAGTGTGAGCGAGAAAGAAAATTATATTGCTTTTGTCTCAGTTATTCTCACAAAATGGTTAGAACTCCCCTTTATATAGTAGAGAAATTCTATATATGGTACAATTCTAATTACAGAAGGGAATCCCATGATTAGCTAAAAAACCGTTCTTGATTCGATCCGCTCCGAGATTTTCGCCGTGACCTTCGATCAGTCGCGGATATCTCGCTTTTCCGTTATTACACTATCTTCGGTATTGCTCAATGCCTGTCTTGTTCCGTCTCGATTGTTGTCGGCCTCGATCTTAGCAGGTGTCTCGAATCCCAAGCTTGGTACTTTGTCTTTATGCCTTGACCCGATCCACTTCCGGGTCGATCTTCGATGCAACTTCTTGGTCTCGGTCAGCATAGAAAAATCGGGTGAGACTGATTTTTTTCCGTATACAATTTTATTTTAAAAAATTTATTTTTATTAATACGAGGGACACGTGCAAGGCGCGTATACTAATACTAGTACCTGAAGAGCATAAATATGACAATCCAGTAAACTTCAACGAACAACTTAACATATATGTAGAGTAATAATAACATCAACTCTATTAAATTGGCAGAGAAATTCTAAAGACAAAGTATGATGATGAGGTAAACTTCGATGAATAATTTTATTCGGTAGAAAACCCCGAAAAGAGCTATATGTGGTTCCGAACTAATTTTTTAAAAGGAATTTTCAGAAATCACTATTGTTTAGTGGATATTAACTTCCTATAGCTACCATATACATAATTACTTCCTATAACAACTATTAAGTTATTATGGTAGTGTATTCGCGTTGTTGTATTCATGAATACAGCAACAAAAAGCGCCTAAAATCAGGGCAGTTCAGCTGTACGCGCATGTATTCACATGTATTCGTGTTGCTGTATTCATGAATACAAAAACAAAAAGGGCCTAAAATCAGGGCAGTTCAGCTGTACGCGCATGTATTCACATGTATTCGTGTTGCTGTATTCATGAATACAAAAACAAAAAGGGCCTAAAATCAGGGCAGTCCAGTTGTACGCGCATGTATTCACATGTATTCGCGCCATGTATTCATGAATACAGTAACGACAATCAGCTTAAAAATAAGTATGTCCAGCTGTCTAATAACAGAAATAATATCAATTAGCGTGATACACTCCTAATATAACTCAACAAAATCAATTCTAACATGCCTTATTATCAACACAATTAATTAGAATAATTTTTTAGTTGTATATAACTTTTGTATTTAGTGTGTTTTAATTATTACTTTTTTTAGTGTCATTTCAATGTTTGTATTTACTGTATTCGTTATTTTATATACACTGTATTCAAATGTATTTGTATTAACAATATCTTAGTTATTCCTAATACATGTTATTACTGCTGTATTCAGTATATTTTATTGGTTGTATTCACTGTATTTCTATTTGTATTCAGTGTATTTTACTGTATTTTAAAATTAAATGTATTCACTGTTTATATTTTGTTCTATTTTAATGTTTGTATTCAGTGTATTTCAATGTTTATATCATGTATTCATGCATGAATACAGATGTATTCAGCTGTATTAAAAAAATATAAACCTTCGAAATACATAAATTAAAGCAAAAAATGTAATTATGCAAAAATACAATGTATTTGATTGAATTTGTACAGAATACAATGTATTTGTATCATTGTATGTGACTAAATAGCAAAGAAAAGAAGAAAGTTCGTTGGAGATAGCATTTTCCGGCCAAGGAAAATATTGTATACATGTATTAAAATTAAAAATGGAGACGAACAAAAACCACGGCCCTCGAATCTTTTCCGGCGTAAAAAATATTGCAATATCCGTGTAGAGGAATCCATTGCAATATCCGGCGTAGAAGAAAGCCGCAATGGCCCTCTTGTTTCAAAGTTGTTGAATCAACCATTGAAGAGGAAATTTGAAGTTTTCTGCTGAAAACCTAATAATGGTGAAGATTTTAAAAAAAAAGCGAAGAGAAAAAGAAAAGCTTGAATCGACCAAAAACCCAAAAACTTTAACACTTACCATGAATTTTTGGAGCAAAAACGTTGAAAGTGAGAGAGAGAATCGTGCTTCAAACATCGTGAATACAATCTTGCTATGAGAGAGAGATCGTGGAGAGAGAAAGAAGAAATATTTTGCTGTTATTTTGGGAGAGAATAACTGAAAGAATGAGAGAGAAAAATGGTACATAGCGTATTTAATGCCTTAATGATAGTGTATACCATAAATACCTATTTTGCTATAAAAAATAAAAGATAGCTATAGAAAATAATAATTTAAAAGGGTTTTGATTTATAATAAATAGGAGGTAGAACCGTTAATTTTGGGCCATTGTTTGTGTCAATTAGAGGTGGCAAAATGGTTAAAAGAAAACAGTTATCCACCCATATTATCCATTTAAAAATAGGGTGGATAATGAACTTTTTAAAAACGGATCGAATATGGAGATACCATATTATCCACTTAGAAAATGCTTAACCAAATGGATAACTAATGGATAACTAATGTGTTTAACTTTTATATTTGTAAAGCCTCAAATTAGGGGTTACTCAAGTTTGGGAGACTAAGGACCCGTTTGGCCATGAGTTTTGCCAAAATAAATTTGGGATTTATTTGGTAAACACATGTTTGGCCATAGATTTTGCCCACATTTTGGCAAAATCCCAAATCCCAAATCCCAAAATCACCTCAATTGCTGATTTTGGGCTAAAATATGACCGTTACACTTTTAAAATTCTTTAAATATTATCCCAAACTTTTATAATTTATAAAAGAGCCCACATTTATTACGGCCAACTAAATATTTGATGAATATGCTCCCTTATCAGCTCAATCCTTTGTGCATCTTACTTTTGCTTCTGATTTGTAGGCTTAATGGCTTTTTGAACACTCATATCAGTTAACTTTTTCTTTTTAATTAGGAGCCGTAATTTTCTAATGGGATTTTACTGTAATTAATAATTTATATAGTTCATTATAAAAATGATAATTTTGTACCAAACTTATTTATGTTCTGGGCTATGATTTGTGATAATGGTACTATTTGTTATTTGTGATAGTTTTTAGAACTTGTGGGTATAAGTCATGTTTCATGTTTTTCAAATAAAAAGTAAAATATATTTTGAAAAATCATGTCCAAATACATTTTCATCTTCAAACCAAACTTCATCCAAATCAGATTTTTCAAAACAAATTTGGGAATCTATAGCCAAACGCTAGCTAAAAATTCTTTCAAAAGTGATCATATTCAAGAAGCGATAGATAATATGGATATGGATAACTTATTTTTTATCCGTCTCAAATATAGGTCGGGTCGAATAATTTATTAGTTTTTAAAATTACCCGTATCCAACCGAGCCGCCCGTTTGCCACCCCTACGCTGTCAATCACCCCAAGTCCACAACAACCTAGCCCATAACCGAAGCATTTAAGAATAGCTTGAATTGTTAAAGTCGGAGCAAAGAATACCAGTTGGGAAGGAAGATGAGCGTGTGGAAGCATTTAGCGCTGTTGGGGAGAGCCAATTCGAAGGAATCAATAGAATATATACTTGAAGCTCTGTGGAGAACTCGTAAGACTGGCCTTGACGCCGCTGACCGCCAAATATTCGGCGAAATGCTTCAACTTTCTAATGATTCTGACCTCGACCCTGTAAAGCTCTCTTCACTTCCATATACTCCCTCCTTCCACCTGTCTTTATATCTGTTCACTTGCAGATGAATTTAATTACCTATGCAATTGAAAAACGAATTTATATGTTCAAACCCGTTGTTGCTAATATGCTCAACTTACTGCCTTAAAAAATAGGGTATTACTTTGTGGTGGAGTTTTAGACTAAACAACTAGTCTAAAGTTTGTCTAAGTCATACTTTATTTTTCGTTGAATGACTTGGAAAATAACATGGACATCCGAGGTTCCAAGCAAAGTTGAATTCTTGGTTGGATTCATCTTGTTTGACACAAGATAAGTTGCAGAGCAGTGGCTTTAACCTATATATCCAGTGTTATATTTGTAGAGGAAGAGGGGGTCCATGAATCATCTTTTTTTGTTTGCAAGTATGTTTGGAAAATATGTGGCATGTTTTTGAATTCGTATGGGATGCACTGTGTTATGCCATCCAATGTCAAGCAGACTTTAAGGAGTTGGAAAAGTCAGCCACTGAGAAAGAAGAAGAAGATTTGAGAAATCATTTCCTTTCAAATTTTAGCACAACTGAATAGGTTAAATTTGTGCCAATGGTGATCAGGTTGCTGGAGTTTTCTCTATGTGAATATTGTTTACGTCTAAGTATCGTATAAAAATGCCTGTTTTATTAGTTGTAAGAATGTAAAATTTTATCTGTAATCTCTAGTCATCTCTATTTTGCATAATTAGCTTATTTGGTTTCATTCCTGAAGTTTCTTACATTAGTTATTAAAAGTTTACCTATTAAAAAAAGGGAAGAAAGGAAAAGATATGGGAATTACTTCAAGTAATGTGATAATTGTTACCGTTCTCAATTTTTTTTTACTTCAAGTAATGTGATTCCTATATCAGCCATCATATTTACATGTTTGTTTTGCAGCTTCTGGTGTGCCTTCGTATTTTGATTCGCAAATGTGTTTATGAGAATGCCAAGAAGGATGAAATGCAAAAGTTGTTTCCTGCTGAGGTTCAACCCGAATTACAAAGGTTATTAACACTTCTACTGCAAAAATTTCAAAAGGAGTGGCGGGAAGATATAGCTAAAGAAGATACAGCTAATGACCGGGTCTGAAACTGTCTCAATAGGTTCAGCTGTAATGCATGTAGTATTACTATTATCTAGTTGAAGAATGGAACACTAAAGTTGAATCTTATCCACAATCAGGTCATCCTGCCTCAACTGAGAGCAATGATGTGGACCAGGGGAAATGAGCGCAGTGAAATTGGAGACCCTGCAGCAATTACAAATTTAAAGGTACAAACTACCTAGCTACTTTTGTACCATTATAGAAAAAGGTACAAGTTATCTATCTTGGCATGTCAATCTGGAGAAGAGAAGAAAGAGAATTTCCATGGTATTTCACTCCTATGATGAAAAAATCAATTGCTTAACATTTACGGACTGCTTTCTTATGTGATTGGTCATATATTAAGCCTTTCCAAACCAAGTCTTACTCATTCCTCGAGTTTTGTCTATTAGCAATCATTATTGAGCAAAGAAAAAGTGAGTTTTTTCCATTTTATTTCCTTTTCGGCCTCAAGCTTCTGAAGTTCAGGAAAGAGTATATTGACTTTGCTTTTCATGTTGTCTTTTCATTTTAATGTGACAAATGGAAAGTCTTGTACTTATAACTGTTTTTCTAAAGCATGCTCCACGCAGCTTCAAGGTGATGCAACATCTAGCTGTGAAGAAAAGGATGTGCAGTTCCAATTGACAAAAGGCACTTTAGAAACAATGTTGAAGTCAATGTACTGTGTTAGGAGCCACGATGATGAATTTAGCAAAAGAATTGGGTTTTGATAGTTTTCTCTATCTAGAGGATATACCTTGTCAGCATGAGTGTTGAAATAATAGGAGCTTAACAGTAGTTAGTTAGCTTAGTTAATGACAGTTAGGCAGTTAGTGACAACTGGACACAGCTAAATTAAAAGGTCGGTTAGTGTACAGTATATAACTGAAGGTAGTTAGTCTTTGTATTTTCACTTTTTCATTTTCTAATATCAGAGAAATGTTCTCTCCATAGTCTCGTTGATCTCTCTTCTTCCACTTCTCTCTTTTGCTGAAGATCGCTCTCCAGAAATCATCATGGTATCAGAGGTTGCGGATTGATCCGAGCTCCGTTCACTCCTCTCTGGTGCTATCTTCAATTGTTCTTCATTTCACCCAATTGCTTTCGAGTCACCATTGTTGGTGCGATTCGTCTTTGAGGAGTTAGGGTTTCACAATTCAGAAATTTCTCTGAGTTTTCAACTTCATCATCAATGGCGATTGAGAGTTCAGACGGTACTCCTGATATTCCTGCACCACCTCCAGCTAGAGGCAGCATTGACGCAATTCCAGTTGTAGATCAGCATCATCCACTCTTTCTCCAGCCTTGCGATACTCCAGGTAGCTCGCTAATCTCAATTAAACTCACTGGACTTGAGAATTATGCCCTATGGAGCAGTTCTACGCGAGTTAGTTTACTTGGAAAGAGCAAATTAGGATTTGTCGATGGTAGGTATTCTAAGGACAAATTTGATCCATCTTTGCATGAGCTGTGGGAGAAGTGCAATGCTATAGTGCTTTCATGGATAATGAATTCTGTTAGCAATGAATTACTGAGTGGTATGGTGTATGCTACGAGTGCTCAGAAGGTTTGGACACACCTTAGGGAAACTTTTGATAAAGTAAACGGATCTAGAATTTTGTACCTTCATAGACAAATAGCCACCTTAACTCAGGGTATCTCATCAGTTTGAGTCTATTTCTCAAAACTGAAGGAATTGTGGGCAGAATTTGATGCCTTGGTGCCCTGTCCTGGTTGTGGTTGTGAAGAGTCCAAAAAGTATGTTGAGCACTTTGAGTCTCAAAGACTTCTGCAGTTTCTAATGGAGTTGAATGAATCATATGCTCAGTCTAGCAATCAGATTATGATGATGTCACCAACCCCTTCGATTAATAAGGCATATGCTATGATAATATCTGAGGAAGTAGGAGATCACTGTCTCCTACACGTGCCTGAGATAAATGAGGGAATAGCATTGTTTAGCAACAACGGAGCTTACAGGGCTACTAATTCACCCAGTCCTGGCAACACTGCCATGTACAATAACAAAGGAGGATCTTCTAACTCAGGACCTGTCTATAGGCCCAAGAAGAACAACCCTTACTGTGACTATTGTCATTTCAAAGGGCACACCAGAGATACATACTATAAGCTGGTAGGATATCCAGCAGACTTCAAAGCTAAGAAGAAGACTCCCTCTGTCAACTATGTTAGAGACAACCAATCTAACAATGATGCCAACTCTGCTCCTATTGGTGATGTTTTTGGTGCAAGTGCTAACTTGGCTAGAAATGCAGCACCTTGTCAAGTTCAGAATCAGAACATTCAAGTTGGACTAGCAGGAATTCCACAATTCACTCAGGAGCAGTACACTCAAATTCTGCAGATGCTTGGCAAGGGAATGAGAATGGTAACTCATCTGTGCCTGCAGGTATAGCAAATGCAGCTACTACCACTAGTGAGGATCTAATTAAGTGGATAGTAGATTCTGGGCATCAAATCACATAGTTAACAACAAACAAATTTTGACTGAAAGTAGCTTATGTGATAAATCTAAAGAGTACAAAGTTCATCTACCTACGGGAGAGTCAGTTACTGTCAATCGCATAGGTTCTACCTATCTTTTTCCGGGTCAAAAGATAACCAATGTGATGCATATACCTGGATTCCAATACAGTCTCTTGTCTGTATCAAAGCTGACAAAAGAACTAAAGTGTGCAGCCTTATTCTTTCCTGACTTCTTCATTTTTTCAGGATCTCTTTAGTGGCAAAGTGAAGGGGATTGGTAGAGAGGACAATGGTCTATATGTGATCAACCATAATAGCAAGCTTCATGTGGATTCTGCTGTGACAACTGTTCCACAGTGTAATGCTTCAAAAGATTTCTCAAAGTATGTTGCTGTAAATACAATAATTGGCAGTAGAATAAGTGTAGATCTTTGGCATAAACGACTAGGCCATGTGCCACTTAGTACTCTGAAAAGGATGAAAGAATTTCAGTCTGTAGAACTTGATAAGTCTGAAGGTCATTGTACTGTTTGTCCATTAGGTAAACAATCAAGACTGCCATTTCCTTTGAGTTTACTGTTTTTAGTACTTGTTAGTACTTGCTTTCATACTATTCATGGAAATGTTTGGGGCCCTTACAGAGTTCCTACATACGATGGAAAAAGGTACTTTCTAACTTTAGTAGATGATCACTCCAGGTACACTTGGATTTTCTTGCTACCTTCCAAAGGTGAAGTAATCGTAGTGTTAAGAAATTTCTTACTCATGATTCAGAATGTCTATTCATGTTCTGTAAAAGTGCTCAGAACTGACAATGGCTGTGAGTTCTTTAATTCACACATGACAGCACTCTTTCAATCCTTTGGAATCATTCATCAGAGTTCTTGTGTGGCAGAGAGGAGACACAGATACATTCTAGACACTGCAAGAGCATTGAGGTTCCAGGCATCAGTTCCTCTAAAGTTTTGGGGAGACTGTGCTCTAACTGCTGTTTATGTGATCAACCGAGTACCTACACCTACTCTTCAAGGCAAGTGTCCCTATGAGGTGTTACATGGTCACTTGCCTTCATTAAGTCATCTGAGGGTATTTGGTTGCTTGGGATATGTCACATACCTCAAAAGAGGGGACAAATTCTCACCAAGAGCTGTTCCTGCCATATTCCTTGGTTACTCCATGACACAAAAGGGATATAAAATGTATGCTATCCACTCAAGGAGTTAGCAGAGAAGTAGTGTTCAAAGAAGATGTATTTCCATTTAAACATCTTCCTACTACTATCTCCTCCTTATTTCCCGTCCTAGACTTAACCACTATCTCCTCCACTGCTCCTTCTATTTCTTCTATATCAGAGGCTGTTGAGTCTGCTGAGTTAGCCTCAGACACTGTCATGCCAGAAGCAATTGTGCAACCTTCTGTCATGCTGGCATCCACTGAGACAGTTGATGCTTCCAACTCTACAGCACATGACATTCCTATGTCTTCAAATGCACCAGAGGCAAGCAGGAAATCCACCAGAACCAGTAGACCACCTGTATGGCTAAAAGACTATGTCACTCAGCAGCAAGGGAATGCTAACTGCTGTTATCCCATGTCTAATTATGTTTCCTATGCCAACATATCTCAGTCTTTTGGAATTGCTCTTACTGCTTATTCCGCTATTGTAGAACAGTGGATAGAGGCTATGCAATCAGAGATTGCAGCCTTAGAGGACAACACTTGGAGTATTGTTGACCTTCCTCCTGGCAAGACGCCTATAGGCTGCAAATGGGTGTACAAGGTGAAGTACACTGCATCAAGAGCTGTGGAGAGGTATAAAGCCAGGCTAGTAGCTAAGGGCTATAGCCAACAGGAGGGGCTAGATTACACAGAAACTCTCTCTTGTGGCCAAAAGTGAGATCTGTCATTGCTAATGCAGCAGCCAAGCATTGGCCTATCTGCCAAATGGATGTCCACAATGCTTTTTTGCAAGGTGATCTTCTAGAAGAAGTTTATATGGCCATTCCTCAGGGGTTTGCAAGCCAGGGAGGGATTCCTAATGTCTGCAAACTTCATAAATCATTCTATGGCTTAAAGCAAGCCCCTAGGCAATGGAACAAAAAGCTAATTGATGCTTTACTGGATCTTGGCTTTACTCAAAGTCACTATGATTACTCTCTTTTCACCAAAAGGGAGCATGCTGCACTGGTAGTTGTCTTGGCCTATGTAGATGATCTACTAGTGACAGGGAACTGTTCTAATTTGATAGTCAAAACCAGGAATGATCTCAAGCTCAAGTTCAAAATGAAGGATTTGGGTGAACAAAAATTCTTTCTTGGGATAGAATTTGCTAGATCCAGGAAAGGCATAGTAATAAGTCAACGGAAATATGCATTGGAACTTATCTCTGAAATGGGTTTGGAACTTATCCAAACCAGCTGGTACTCCATTGGAATCTAATGTGAAACTCACATTTGAAGAATATGATTCTTTCATCAAAGGAGACTCAGTATCTGAAGTAACAAAAGATGACAATCTATTGGCAGATCCAGGTCAAGATCCAGGTCAATATCAGAGGCTCATAGGAAGATTGTTATATATCACTATGACCAGAATTGATATTGTCTATGCTGTGCAAGTGCTCAGCCAGTTTATGCACAAGCCAAAGCAGTCACACCTAGAGGCTGCTCTCAGAGTGGTAAGATACATCAAGGTAGCTCCTGGTCTAGGCCTATTAATGCCTTCAGACAGCTCTGACACACTTGTAGCCTATTGTGATTCAGATTGGGGAGGCTGTCTACAAACTAGGAGGTCTGTTACAGGGTATCTAGTGAAGTTTGGGGAGGCTACCATATCCTGGAAGTGGAAGTCGAAGAAACAGGACACAGTAGCCAGAAGCTCAGCAGAGGCAGAATTCAGAAGCATGGCTTCCACAGTTGCTGAACTGACCTGGTTAGTTAACAGGATTGTGAGCTGGGAGTTGGTGTCAATCTGCCTATCTCTCTATATTGTGATAGTAAAGCTGCCATTCAGATTGCAGCCAATCCCATTTTTCATGAGAGAACTAAGCACATTGACATTGATTGTCACTTTGTTAGGGAGAAGATTGTTCAAGGGATGATCAAAAACTTTCATATCTCGACCAAGGAGCAACTGGCAAACTTACTGACAAAGAGCCTTGGCAAACTGCAGCATAACTATCTTTTATCCAAGCTGGGGTTGATAGACATATTTCAACCAACAGCTTGAGGGAGGGTGTTGAAATAATAGGAGCTTAACAATAGTTATTTAGCTTAGTTAATGACAGTTAGGCAGTTAGTGACAGCTGGACACAGTTAAAAGGCCGGTTAGTGTACAGTATATAACTGAAGGTAGTTAGTCTTTGTATTTTTAATTTTTCATTTTCTAATATCAGAGAAATGTTCTCTCCATAGTCTCGTTGATCTCTCTTCTTCCTCTTCTCTCTTTTGCTGAAGATTTCTCTCCAGAAATCATCAATGAGCTTGCAACATTGACTGTTCTCTATATCATCACTCTTAAACTTGTAGGTGCAAATATCAGATAGATCGTAGATGTGTACCCCAACAAACAAATGTGGTATAATTCTCTACTGTCCCTGACTAGAAGGTAATGTACTTTCATATGTTAGTTAATTCACTACTGTTCGCGTTACTCCCTGTTCTAACATAGTTGAAAGATTGCCTTTGAGGCTGAAAAGATTGATACATATTTTGACAAGTGGGAAAGACATATTTTACATGGAGAAGCTTTAATCTCCCTAGGAGTTGGATATGATTACCACCTTACTTTGCATCATTTTGGACATGGTTTGATATATTCTGGCCCATTCTTATCTTCCAATTTCTGGATAACTCAAATGTAGTTCCATGTCGTGCTGGCCACTCATCATTCAAATGTAATTCCATGTTTCAATATGTTTTCCTATTCTTTATGCTCTATCTTGACCATACAAACAGAGGTTTAGGAATTACATTATAATACTTGCTTGTTTAATTTGATCTTGGAACTAGTTCCGAGGCTTAATAAAGGTATTAAAGGCAAGCCCTTAAAACTTTTAAAAAGGTCTCGCGTAAGCGGTTACCACTACTTTTAGCTCACTCAAGCCCGTGGACTTTTGTTTTGTTTTAACCCTTTCCGTCACTTTTATTTAATAAATAGTTAAATTTAGGTGTTTAAAGAATATTTTTCTCCTCTCTTTATGCTAGAAAGGTGGCAGAATTTCCTTTTCAAAGTTAGGGGATGCTAACACATAGGAGGATGGAAATATTTGAGCCCCTTTGATAATAAGAAAAATCTAAATTGCTCTCTAGTTCCTAAGATAACTTTTTTATTAGTAGAACTTGAGAAGAGTGGGTTGTGTGGTACCATAATAAAAGTTTAAGCAGTTGAGTGACACTAAAAATGGCTTAAGGGCTTATTTAAGATTTTCTTGAAAAGCTTAGGGGCTTTAAACATGATATTTATTGGTCGTCCTCTATAACCCATGATTCTTTTGTTTAATTTGGCCCAATTTATTTGGCTGTAGGGGAGATATCGACCTTTATAAGTACAGTTGTTCATATCGGCATGGCTCAGTTAAGTTGTTTGTCAGACCGTCAAGCAGTGCAAATCTGAGTTTACTTGATTAATCCCATGTACATGGAGGAGACTCTGATCTGCAAACTTTTTTGGGGATAGAGGAAAATGTTGAGTGGACCAAGTCTATATGGTTTGTCCGACTCTATAAGTTCATTCTATTCTATCGACTATCTAGTTTTTCAATGTGGATTTATTTCCATTTCATGTCCCGCATGTTGGTATTGTTCTAATACCAAATATTAGAAGAAAGCAAAGTAGAAAAGATAAAGAACTGCTAGATTTCAAAATCTTGCACCTGTCTACTACGGATTTCAGGTTGAGCTATACGTTGCCCATTTCTTTGAATCTGTTTAGGTTTCTTATTTCTTTGGTCAATAGATGATTGTTCAGATTTGCAGCGTTAGACACATTAGATGTGTCAGTAATATTGTTTTATATCTTAAGAGTGCTAATCTTACTCGAAATCTTGATTAGTGATTATTACTATGTTGAATGCTAATCAAGATTTACAACTATTAACTTAATAAAGTAATATTCTTTATGTATGATACAATACAATCATGGCAGACAACTCATGACAATAGATCACAAAATATATCTAATGTTACGCACAAAATACATATGATACATCTTAATAATATTCATCAAAAATATATATTGCATTCCACTGTCCTCATACATCCTCGACTTGTCGATATTGGCCTCTAACAGTGACATCAACCGCCTCCCAAGTGGTGTAATTTTCTCTAATTCCAAATTATGAACGCGTGAACTATCAGATTCCAATTCTTTAAAAGCTTATTCAGTGTATCACTATAATCAACAAGGAATTTCACATAATGAGTCAGCGGGTAGATTTACCACCTTGTGTTGGTTTCCTCTAAGACTCCCCCCTGAACTGCATTTTCAAACTCCACAAATGTCCCTTTAATAGCACACTATGTCACCAGCTTCTTCACTAAAAAGCAAGTTTAAGTCCGGCAAAACGCATCCTACATATAACAACTTCTCATATGATCTCCGCCAAATCGCCAAAGCTTCTCCAAAATTCAATAGCTGCATTACACATCCCTTTGCAGTCTCTACAAAACACACCTCTTTAACCAAATCCGAGCACTAAAAAATCTGCTCACAGAGGCGTTTTTCAGCCGATAGAAGGATTCACACCAGAATTTCAGTGCATATATCCATATTTCGTTTTCTCATCCAACGGCCACCAATCAATCCTCTGGACATCTGCAGTACTCAACTCCGAGAATGCTCAAACACTCATCCAAAACCTCGCGATGAATACTTGAATAAACTTGACAACACTCATTTTCGTACCCGGACCGAACCATACGTTCCGCAATCTCTCTCAGCTCAAAGATAGCATCCGAATAAATCAAATCCACTGAGCAATTGTTCCCTTGGAGACTCGTGCCTCTCACGTGACGTACCTTCCACTGATTACTAGTCCCCACTTCAAAGTCAGGTATTTCCCCACTCGACTGTTGAAATCTATGACCAGAAGGTGAAGACCATTTCCCAGTGCAAGTTGGTTTGAGTTGGAAAAATGATTCATGTTGATAAACAATAAGATTTTATTCGTGGGATCCAAGAAAAATATTAGCTGAAAGAATGTGTTCAACATGGACTATTAATTATGGCAATGCGTGCATCAAAATAAAGACGTGTGAAGTAGTCTTTTAAGGAAAGAAAATAGAATCCTTTTGGGATTTATTTTCCTCAAGAGGTGAGCGAATTATTTAAGGTCTTGGAGCTGAACTTGGAGAAGGATTTCGGCTAAGCCTCACTCCTATGTAAAGCGCCATGTTGCTGCTATTCAAGATGATTGCTATTTTCGCACAGACACTACATTCATTCAAGGCAAATAGTAATTCATAACAAGAGGTACTTTCAGAGATTCAAGCTGCTCAACTGAAGATAACATGTTCCTAAAACGAAGCTGCTGAAGTTCTTTAGCTAGTTAGGTTGAGTCAATTGATCTCTATTGTAGCCCATCCTGCTTATTAAGAAGTGTAATAGTAGGTGAACAAATCTTAATGTTTTGTTTTGATTTCTAAGCTAGAGTTAGCTCAGAAAGGAGTAGTTACAATTGGGTTGATGGTAGGAGTTAAGGTACTAGAGTTAGTCCCTTTGGTTATTGGGTTGTAACCTAAAACGGTTCTTTGAAGTTAGCGAATTTTTAAGGCAAATCTTACGAGGGTAGATCCTGATTTTTACTCCCTTGAGCAAGGAGGTTTTCCACGTAAAATTATTGTGTTATTTGATTTTCGAACTTCACTTTCTGTTTGTGTCTAAATCACTTAGGTTAAATGTCACGACCCAAAATCTACCTAGTCGTGATAGCACCTAACCCAACCTGCTAGGTAAGCCAAATAAAATAAATTACAACTAAACTGAGAAGTCAACGATGTATATAATAGGAACTACATCCTAGACCCTTCAAATTATATAATACATGTTACATCACCCAAAATTTGAAGGGATTGTGAAAGGGGCGTGGAGACAGGAATATAGAGGAGTAGTAATATCAAGAACATGGCTGAAACTTAAAACATTGAAGGAGGCCTTGAGGGAGCTCAATACATATATGGCTTCATACCAACAAAAGATGAACCAGGCTAAACAGAAGTTGGAGTTATTACAATCATGCCAGACTCTTATTGAACAAGAGAAGGAAGCAATTTTTGAAGTGGAGAAGTGGAGCAATGTCGAGGAACAAGTCTTAAGACAGAAATCCTGAGCCAACTGGATACAATGTGGAGATTCAAACACAAAAAATTTTCATGCTCAATGGAAGCTACGCACAAGTACAAATACTATCAATTATATATACAATGATGTTGGAGTTAAAATTACATATCCAAAACAGGTAAAAAAGCAGTTCATCTCATTTTTTACCAAACTTATGGGAGAGTCATCCAATATTCTTCCTTGTCCCAATTATGAGGTGATCAAGAAGGGTGCTTGTCTGACAAGAACACAACAACTTGATTTAATTAGAGATGTTACAGTAGAGGAAATCCTAGATGCTATCAAGAGTATGCCACCTGATAAGGCACCAGGTGTGGATGGATTTCTAATAGAATCTTTTACACAACACTGGGAGGAGGTAAAATATGATGTGCTTGCAGATGTATTGGAATTCTTTCAATCTCGAAAGATGAACAAGGCCATAAACTGTACTGCTATTATCCAAAAGCTCCTTCCCAACACAGGTGAAAGACTATAGGCCTATAGCATGATGTACAACATTATATAAGATCATCACAAAAGTGATCTCTGGGAGGCTAAAAAGAGTAATCAGTGATTTGGTTGGAGGATCTCAATCTGCTTTCATTGTGGGCAGAAGTGTAACGACCCGACCGGTCGTTTTGAGCATTTACGCTCCTTTCAACTATTTGAAGTCTTGAATAACTTCCTACGAGGTATTATGACTTGTGTGAATTATTGGTTTTGGTTTTAAGGTATTTCGGAATTAGCTTGGAAGAATAAAATTTCATGTTGGAAGTTTAAGTTGAAATAGTTGATCGGATGGTGACTTATGTGTAAATGACCCCGGAATAGAGTTTTGATGATTCCAATAGCTGCGTATGGTGATTTTAGACTTAGGAGCGTATCCGGAAAATTATTTGGAGGTCCGTAGTGGAATTAGGCTTGAAATGCCGAAATTTGAATTTTTTGGGAAGTTTGACCGGGCGGTTAGGTCAATCGGACTTGATTTGAATAGGTTCCGGCGTCGTTTGTGAAAACTTGAAATTTCAAAGTCATTAGCCTTGAATTTGGGGTATGATTCGTGGTTTTAGCGTTGTTTGAGGTGATTTGAGGGTTCGACTAAGTTTGTA